ACCTCAGTGAAGAGGGAGACTATGAAGCCTGACAACTGTTCCTTCTATCAAGGAATATTTCTGGTGGAGCAGGAAAAGCTGGTGGGGGAGGGGTGGACACCTCTGTTAGAAAATGTTCAGAGCATCTTCCAGCAGCAGTAAAAGGCTACCCCAGCCCTGACTCCAGGGGGAGAAGTTGACACCACTGCTGGACCATGCTCAGCTGCCTTATTCATCAGCCCTTTCCTGTGGAGTGCTCTTTAAATGACGAGGAGCTGGAAGGGGGCAGTTTGACTATAAACTAAAAGCTCATGTAGGAGTGATCACACAGAAACAGTTGGATTCTGCCTTCTGATTGTCAAAAGATGCTGATACAGAAACCTCTCCAAAGTAACAGGACAGGTGGGGTGCTAGGTGTTACAACCATCATAAGTGAGGAAAGCCATTACTTGAGAATCATCTTCCAGCCGCCTGTAGGATCATTATAATGTGTGTTGCTGTGCCTTTGACTTCACTAAGAGCTATTTTGATTGACACAAGGGGATATGAAAATTACAATTTGTGATGGATCATTCGTGTATACAAGTCATCACTTAATGTTTCATCAAGTGATGAGTATGTCTATGTGAATCAGCCCTTAGTCAGAGAGCCATGCACTGTTCAAGCAGAAGGGGATGTAGTTTAAAAAAGTGCTTCACAACATCAACATTCACTCTGAATTTCTATCTTAAACTTTTTAAAGACCAAACCTCAGTGTCATTCAAAATACAGTGGCATGTGTTTGTCAGAATTCAGTATTCAAAAGGCAATTCACAATTCATATTGTGGTCATTTTCAGATTATATCTAGCAGGTAAGTGAGAAGTGCTTTGAATAGTTTGTTTTTCTATGTGGTATAGCTGAAGGTCAGACTGGTAGGGCTGGGAAGACCCAGGTTTAGCTTCTCACTCAGCTCATTGCATGACCGTAGGCCAGGAAGTACCTCTTGGCCTTGCCACACAGGGATGCTGTGAGGAAACAGTGAAGAAATATATACCTTCCCCTCCACTGAGCTCCTTGGATGGAAGGCAGGCTAGAATCATAAAAAATTAAATAACTACTAAAAGATCACTGGTTGGGTATTTATATTTATATCGTGTAAAGCTTTACATCAAGATTCTTTTGCTCATAGGCTTAAATAGTAATTATTATCATAACTAACTAAGAGACTGATGGCCCTATTAATGTCTTACACCAAGGGAGTCGAACAAAATGTGGATAAAATACCACCCACCCAAACATACAAAGTATTCCTACCCTGAAATGCTGTACTGGAAAACAAAGGGAAAACTGTACCTAAAATGAAGTTTGATGAAAATTACTAAGTGGCTTACCTTGGCAACAGCTTTGCTTTCACAATTATTATTGGAATCTTTAATGCTATTGAGCGAATCTCTTCTCTGTGGGCATGGTTTCTTTTTGCGTGGTCTGCCTTTAAGATTTGGCGCTAAGAAACAAAACAGGCAAAAATTTCAGCAAAATTTCTTACCAAGGGGTAACAAAACAAAAGGCACTTCAGCAGCAGAGCAGTTGTCTAGAAACAAGACTACAGAGAGTATACATTTTCTCTATAATATAAGTCCCTCATCAGTGGTTGTGATGTTTCTAGGTCACTTATATTATATTGTCACCAAGTACCCCAAGCTAATCTGTTGCTGCTAGTATTTAACAAGGATCCAAAAGAATACTGGGAAAACACAATTGCTTTCTTGCAATACAAAAAGCACAGGCTGTGTTTGTGCATGTCAGTACCAAACACTCATACAGTTCTGTAAGATTTAAGCATGAACTAAATTTCCTCTTCTGGTCATTTCTTTAGAGTAGACGATATTCAATTAGGCAATATTTATTTCTGGTAACTATCTTTCAAGTTAAAGCAAGTATTGCCAGGAACAAGGAACAGAATAATGGACTGGCATTTCTGTACTGTACAGTTCAACATGCATGGTTTGAGACAAATGCAAATGCAGCCCTCACTTGACTAAACTGCTGCTTAATACAACATGTCAAAGAGCTTTATTAAGAAATCCAGAGATTTTATGGGATTAAAAAAAAATCAAGCCATTCTGAGTTTGGTTTTGAAACGCAGTATATACAGATCCTAAAAGGAAAGTTTAAACGTAGCTCTAAAAAAAGAAAAGCAACACCCCCACAAAAATTACAATGCTGATTATGAAAAATCCATGGGTAAAAAGAGTTATTTTGTTCAGCATGAAAAGTGATCTGTGTGTTTAAGCCACCAGACTTCAGCGACATTAAAAATGATAAACAATCATTAACTTGTGATTATAGTGGAGATAACTTGCTGCAAACCTCTCTCTTTTAAAGTAACCATTGTTTTCATTACTTCTAGGGATGATTATAATAATGTCAGAAATCTAAACACCACAAACCTCTCGAGTGGCTTTCTAATTGTTTCTAATCTTACATTTGTCACACAAGTGGTTTCAGGACATCTTACATTTTAATTAGCTCTCAGATGCAAGGCTGCTATAATTTGATACTGATGCTCTGAAATAACAGTTTCCTGCTGGCGGTGGTTCAAGGGAGGAACGAAAACAAAACAAGCCCACCGCCCTCAGTTTAAAAGCAAAAGTCCTACCCAGCCCCTGCCCCCCCCCCCGCGAAATGCTTCGTGCTTCCGCACTGTCATTAAGTGCTTTAGAAAACAACTCCAAGGTTGTCATCTAAAGTCAGCATGCAGAATCGGCACACACACACGCACACACACCAAAAAAAAAGAGGGTAAAAAGAAATTATTACCCATTCCAGTCGACAAACATCTGCTTGATTTATCCCTCTACTCATGAATGCTACAGCACGGGACTGTGCGCGCCCTACATCCCTGGAAGTCTTGACTTGATGTGCATGTCAGTCTTACACAGAATGAACGCTTGGAGTATTTGCTCAGCGCTTACAAATCCCTTCCCCCCAGCTGCTCTGTTACTCATATAAACACAGATGAGTGACTCGAGCAGAAGAGAGTGGGATGTACACTCCGGACTTCAGCTCTCTCACTGCTGACACACTGCCAAGAAGCCTGCTCTCTCGTTTACAAATGTAGCTCATGATTTCATCCTAATTGTTTTGTTGCTCATGACCTCCTTGCTTGGCACTAGTTGGAAAGCACACCGAGTTCCACAAACGGAGGGCCATATTTAAGAACCAGGGAGAGGGGGCGGGGTGGGTGTTGTAATCTCTCCCTTCAAAAGAGAGTGTGTAAAACCCAAAGTGCTCTCCTCAATTTATTACAGGCTGATGCAAGCACTAAAATTTAATGACCATCGTAGAGTAAATGGGGCAAATTCAGGTCTGGCAAAACCATCTGAAGTTGCTCAAATGACAGGGATTAATTCTGGTGCAGGATCTTGGTTTCATAAGGATTACTTGTTTTATGGTAGCCAGAATGAAGCACAGCTCATTCCCAAGTATGGCGTTTTAGAAAAATACAGGTTATTCCTGAGTTAGAGGGACATACAATGTAGTACTGTGCAAAAATGAAACACCCGAGCCCCACCACACTTCTCATTTTAAAAGTTTTAATTAATTAATTGAAAGGCTTCAAAAGGCAGAGAAGGGCAAATTCCTTGAATAATGATCTCGCCTCTTACATACTGCTTGTATTACTGAGTGGATGGTGATATAGAATTTCTCATTTCTTCAGTCACTGAGGAATTTGGACTGAAATGGCTGCTTCCAGAATGTTCTGTGATTATTTCATGTATGACACAATACAACTTTAAATCCCATTTATATCAAATGTGTAATTAAAAGGAAACCATCTCTATGAATCAATGCCTGTGGTATTTTACTGCATAGCAAGAGCCATGTCTGACATTAAAGTAATATTTCCATTACCTAAACCACTACACAGTCATCTGTACTGCTCCTAACTGAGCTACATGTCCCTTGGCTAGAAAAGCAAATAACTGATAACAAAAGATTTATATATCTATTTACACTGTTGGCACTATTATCCAAAAATATTTGAGAGATTACTGGGTTAAAAAATAGACCACTTCTCAGCAGAGATATTAGTCATCAGAGTATTTGGAATGTCAGAGGGTTATAGGTTACACTTTGTTTTTTCTTTTTGCCTTACTGCTCTGGGAATGTCTTTTCCCTGCTAATTCTGGGAAAGTCTATTGCCTATCCTGTCTTTGTACCTGGAATGCTGAGCACTGCATCCAACCTTTTCCTTTTTTTTCCGGTTGTTCATGAGCAGCAGAGCAAATACTACTGGGGAGAGAAAGTATAAGGGAGCAGAAGCAAACTGATCTGGGCAGTTGCCTTTGCCAGAGGTTGCCTTGTGAAAAGTCTGGCTCTGAGCTGGGGAGACTTGCACAAATCCTGCTTATACAATGAGTACTTGTGGAAAATCTCAGCGTAGCAAGATAATTATATATGTGCGTAACAGACACCCCTATCATTACTTCTTATCTGTGAAATGGACAAAATGAACAAAACCCTCAGAAGAATGAGACAGCAGAGATGCTGGCCAAGTACATGCAAACATAAAGAGGTAATAATTAGTGTGGCTGGCTCTGAGCAGTTTAATCAACTCAAACTTCAGTTGATTAGAAGGTAAGTGGAAATTTTATACAGTCACACTAAGAATTAGGGGGAAAGATGCCTAATTTTGAGACTAAGTTTATTATGCAATATGGCACAAAAAAGAAACTGTAACAGCAGTCCAACCATGAGTGATACTGTTTTTATTAATTCAGAGAGTATTTTATACTTTTCATTAGCTTCAAACAGGGCCTCAAATTTGAAAATTCGGTAAAATGTTTTACCATGTGATCCAATGTCACTACTCACAAATTCAGAGGACTGCCTTTTAGGAGTGGAAGGTACAAGGACATGAAGGTTCAGGTTGTTTTTCTCCCACCCTGCAAAAGATTTAGATGGCCATCTGAGCCTTCTGTACCTGCTTATGAGCGTAGGCTCAGGTGCTGCCTGGGTACACTGCATCCTGGCAAAGTCTCATTCTCTCTTTCCTTGCTGCTTGGAGTGCCCCCACCTCCCCAGTGCCAGCTCTGAGGATGTTCTTATTACTTGTTGCCACATCCAAAACAGAAAGAACCATGCGAACTCTGAGGGCAAGGGGACGGTTCTCCAAATTCAGGGGCCCACTTCCAATCTCAGAGTGTGCTACTGAGGTCAGAGTTGGGACTCTGAATTTTTCTGTGTCTAATCTTGGGAATGTACCCTGATTGAGCTTTTCAATCAACAAGTATAGTGTTTTGACAGCTGACAATTATTATTGTTTTGTATAATAATATATACAAATTGAGGAAACGCCAACAAACACTGAACTTTTCCACTGAATGAATGCAAGGGGGTGTGGCTCAAATTCAAACATTCCTGTCAAATATAACAGAAGTTCTTGACAGCATTTTTCCTAAGAAAACACTTGAAAACTGATGGGGGACTTAAGCTTTTTTTGTTATTGCACAAATACAATGCATCTATAACTCATATTTTAATATTTTTCATTCATTGCTGACATCACTGTCAAAACGAACACTGTATTATGAAAACCATGGGCCCTGGGCATCTCCACTTAAAAGGAAATCACAAACCTCAGGCCAGGTCCTTCTTAGCCTGTTCAACAACCTGGACTTGGTCAAACAGCATCAATCTCAGCTGACAGAAACAATAAATGAGATACAGATATTCTGTATTCAAGGAAAGATATTCTTGACTCTTTCACAGCCTGTCCACTAACCATGTGAAAAATGCATGCAGACCTTGCTGCAGTTGGAGAACCTCTAAGATCTATTCTCCCAGGAACAACGTATGTGACTTTATGGCCCTTCTTTGTTCCTCACACCTCACTTTGACAAAGAATTCCCAGCTCCTTCACCTATTTCCCCATGATGGACAAACTAGAATGGCCATGTATTCTGTTTTACAGAAGATGGTCACCTATTCAAAGAGAGCCAAGAGGACTGTCCTTTGTCTTGAAGGCATCTGCTATCTGAAAGGCTGGTGTAAAGATAAAAAATCATCAGAAGGAAGAGGCCTGGGACCTTGACAGAAGATGGAAGACACACAAACTCAAGTCACCTGGTCACACTAGGGTGAGATGTGCCAGTATTGCTATTTAAAGTATATTTATTCTAACATCTGCATCCACACCTAAAATTAGCATATGTGTATTTTATGTAAATTGTTATCCTCTTCTGCCCTCTTTTTGGATGGTGCAATTCTTTTTCAGTGAGTCATAATTGGTCAGCTCAGTGCAAACTAGGAAACTGGTTTAAAGAAATGAAAGCTTCGCATACAAGAAGGAGCACTCAAGCACTTGATTCATCTGCAGGTTGATAAATAATTGAGTCTGTGATGCTCGAATCAGGCTTACATGAAAAATAAAGCCCACTTACGCAGCTAATATCAAGTAACATCCAACATGGTGGAAGTGTCTTTGGCTGCAGAATGCTA